AAATATAGGACCCAATCCTAACAGTTATGTCTGTGCTTAACTTTACAAATGTGAGTAGTCCCATTAACTTGCATATAATTACACATGTGAATACATAAGCATATATGTGTTTACAGAATGGAATTTTGGGCCTTGTTTTCACAACCCCCATTAAACAGTATCCTTTGCAACATACTTAGGAGTCAGGCTTATGAACCTAGGAATTGTAATACCAAATCAGAAATGAGAGCCATCTATTCCAGTATTTTACCTCCAACAGCAGATGTTTGAGGACACACCTACACTGAAGCATTATTTCAAAATAACTGTTGTTATTTCGAAATAACAAAGTGTGCATCTACACAGCAAGCCATTATTTCAAAATAATTTTGAGATGATGGACTTCTTACTCTGACTTCTGTAACCCTCATTTTATGAGGAGTAAGGGAAGTCAAAGGAAGAGTGTTCTGTATAGACAGTGCCAAAAGCTGAATTAAAGTATTTCAACTTCAGCTACACAATTGACATAGCTGAACTTGTGTATCATAATTCAACTTTTGCCCTAAAGTGTAGATAGGCCCAGAGAGTGTAAGAATCCCATAGTAGCAGATGTGGGAAATCTACATACTGAGCTGTGACAGAGATTTATTAAACCATGACACATCAGCTGTGTCTAGACTGGCAAATTTTTCCGCAAAATCATCTGCTTTTGCGGAAAAACTTGCCAGCTGTCTACACTGGCCGCTTGAATTTCCGCAAAAGCACTGACGATCTGATGTAAGATTGTCAGTGCTTTTGTGGAAATACTATGTTGCTCCCGTTTGGGCAAAAGTGTTTTTCCGAAAAACTTTTGCACAAAAAGGCCAGTGTAGACAGCAGAGATTTGTTTTCCGCAAAAAAGCCACAATCGCGAAAATGGCGATCGTGGCTTTTTTGCGGAAAAGAGCATCTAGATTGGCCATGGACGCTTTTCCACAAAAAGTGCTTTTGCGGAAAAGCATCCTGCCAATCTAGATGCGCTTTTCTGAAAATGCTTTTAACGGAAAACTTTTCCGTTAAAAGCATTTCCGGAAAATCATGCCAGTGTAGATGTAGCCATGAAGTTTAACATATCTCTCAGAATTTTTGCTATTCCTTATGATAACTCTGGAGATTCTGATCTGTATAAAAATCCAATCCCTTTTCGAATCCTGCTAGATTCTTGGTCTCAATGATATCCAGAAGCAGTGAGTTTCAGTTCAATTATGTGTTATGTGAAACAATGTTTCCTTTCATCTTTTCTGAATTTGCAACTTTTTAAGTTAATTAAATGTTTCTTTGCTTTTATGATGAGACAGGGAGAACTGAAACACTGTTATTTTATATCTGTTTAGCACAGTGTTTCTTAAACTTTTTAAGACCAAGGCACACCAAACAATTTTTTTTATGAGGAACACCAAGGATTTTTTGTTGAACAAACAAAAAAAAAAGAAGAAAAAGAAAAAGAAAAAGGTCAGGGGGATAGTTATTGAGCAGCCATTTTGTTTTGAACTCTGTTGTTCTTTGTGACACACCTCCGAATGCACAGTTTAAGAAACACTGGTCTAGCATGTCCACTCTACTGTGTCTCAGTTCTATATAAAATAATTCCCTTTATTTCAATCTCTTTTCATGTGAGTTTTCCCATGCCTCTTAATCATTCTTCTAACTCTTCTTTGCACCACTGATTTATGTAGACATCAAAATGCTTTCTCAACTGTTCTCTACCCCATTTCTTTTGCAATCTAACATCATTTGTGTTTCTGACTGCAGCTACATATTGGGCAAAGGTCTCTCTTGAACAGTTTGGTGATACCCAGCATCTTTTCCTGTATTGACACAGTTAAGTTAGAACCTTCTAAGGTACATGGGTAGTTTATAATGTCCCCTGAATTTATATTTCTTTGCATTTGTGAACCTCAAACTCCATCTGCCTTCATATTGCCTACTTATCTACCTTGTTGAGGTCTCTGTGAAGTTCCTGAAAATTCCCACTAGTCCTGATCTAACCCAAGTAACGCCATGCCATTTGCAAACACTGCTACCCTATGAGTCAACCCACCTTTTCCGGGATCTTAATAAATATATTAAACAATTCCGGACCTAGTATAGAACTCTGAGTCACCTCCAGTCATTCGCTTTTTGCTCAGATGAAAATTGACCTTTTATTTATACTTTTTGTCTTCTAGACAGTTTTTGATCCATGAACTACTTCACCTCTCTTCCTGGTTACTTAGCTTCTCTAATAGACTTTTCTGATGGAACTTATTAAAAATCTTTTGATAATCTAAATACAAGTGGTTTTTCTTAATCCACTACTTTAATGATACATTCAGACCGTACGTCTAGACTGGTGGCTTTTTCCAAGATACTGGAGGTATCCCAGAAAAACTCCACCATGTCCAGGGAACGCGTTTGCTCTTCTGCTTTTTTTTTTTTTCAGAAGAGCTAACGCGCTCTTTCAGGGAGCCCTGAATACAGTATTCTCTGAAGAATAAGGGCTCTGCCGAAAGAGGAGCTAAACGGTGTTAAATCCTCTTCCGGAAAAGCAATCAGAAAATGCTACACAAATTGCGGAGTGCAATTTGCATAGCTTTTTCTGATAAAAGAGTATAGTGTAGACCTTGCCTTAGAGATCAGTGAAGCATTATTTTCCTTAGCAGAAATCCTGTGGCAAGATGGTATCACATCATGATCTTCAAGTGCTTTATTATATAGCTTTCAATTGTTCATCCAATTTGCCAGGTACAGAGTAAGGCTTCTTGGTGTGTAATTCCCTTCCATTACAATATTCGTGATCCTTCAGTCATCCAAAGCACACGGGCTACATCTACACTGGCATGATTTTGCGCAAGAACTCTTTTGCAGAAGAGTTCTTGTGCAAAAACTCTTCCAGAAGAGAGCGTCTACACTGGCATGTGCCTTTGCGCAAGAGATGTGCTTTTGCGCAAGAGCATCCATGCCAGTATAGACGCTCTCTTGCGCAAGAAAGCTCTGATGGCAATTTTAACCATAGAGCTTTCTTGTGCAAGAAATTCATGTTGCCTGTCTACACTGGCCTCTTGCACAAGAATAGTTGCGCAAGAGGGCTTATTCCTGAGCAGGAGCATCATAGTTCTTGTGCAAGTAGCACTGATTTCATACATTAGAACGTCAGTGTTCTTGTGCAAGAACTCACAGCCAGTGTAGACAGGCAGCAAGTTTTTGCGCAAAAGCAATTGCTTTTGCGCAAGATCGCATCAATGTAGATACAGCCTCATAGTTTACAGGTCTTCCAAAATCTACCTAGAGAAGAACCCTCACTCATGCATGTTGTCCCCTTTGCTTCTATAGGACTATTCAGGAAAGTAAAAGTTTGTAGAATATAGGACCTAGCAGTTTGATCTTTGTCTGTTCTTCAGTGATACCTGTATGTTAATAACTTTTGAATTAAATGCTAACTTTCTCAATATTTATCATAAATATCTTGGAACAAGTGAATAGTGGCACATGACTGGATAACTTCAGGTGTTGGTAGAGTAACTAAAGATGACAAAATATATTAAACTATGCTTGTCAATTGAAGTTGTATTAGTTTAATTCTTTGAATTAAATTATTACATTATTTGATTTTTTAATATTTATGCAGGAGCTCAGCATGACTGAAAATCAGGCCACTGCAATTTGGGAGTCTAATTTTTTAGGAGCATTAGTTTGAAAATGTTAGCCTATATTCTTACCAGGGATGTAATAGTACAGTCAATTAACCGATTAACCAATAAGAAAAAAACCTTATGGACTATATGCATTTAAATGCAGAGCCGCAGCAAAGTTTGGTCCCTGACCGGGTACACGTCAGGACTGAGCCAGGCCCCCTACCCACCCGGCTTCTACAACATTTTAAATGCAGAGCCACAGTGGGGTAGTTCCCAGACCTGGTGCAAGCTGGGACTGAATGCTTTAAACTGCCTTCTCTTATTAACTAATCATGTAGTTGATAAAATTCTATCAACTAAACAATTAGCAAATTATTTGCTTCTTAACATCCCTAATTCTTACTATCAATATTACTATAGTATATATATGCTGTGAATTCTATAAAAGGAAATTGACTTTGAACTGTTATGTTAGCCACTAGATGTACATACACACAAGCCTCAGTCTGGATGGAGAATTTGCTTTCCCCACTATAAAAATATATCTGTTCTCTAGCATTATCTGTTCATTGTATGAATATACATCTAGATTTCAAGAACATAAGAAATGGAACCATATCAATTAGTAGCAGTCCACATCACTTATTTTGTGTTGGATTAGCTGTCTCCTCAATTCTTGTACCTCCGATATTTTTCTTCCAAACACTGAAGTGCTGAGTAACCTTGGGCAAGAAATTTCTCTGCACCTCAGTTTCCCCATCTGTGAAAATCGCAAAGGGATCTGACCTCCCTTGTAAAATGCTTTGAGCGGTATTGATGGGCAGCGCTGTGTACAATGAAGGGATTACGAGCAATCCCTACGACAGCCAGCGGCGGAGCTTGTGGCCCCGACTGGCCACGGTATTAGCCTAACTCTGGGCCAGAGGGAAGGGGAGCGGAGTAAGGCCGTGCACCCAGGCAGGCCCGGCTCTCTAGCACAGCACGAGTCGGGCTCCAACTGGAGATGCTCCACCTCGCTGCTTTGCAGCACGGACTGAGCCGGGCGGAGGCTGCGCTGGGCCACTCGCAGGACTAGGGCAGGGACAGCGGAGGCGGGGAGCACGGCCTGGGAGGGCGGGGTCATGAGCCGCCTTGATGAGCTCCCCTCAGAACACACGTGCCGCTCTGATCCGGCCTCTGTCTGTGCCGCTGGCCCGACCGTACTCTGGCAGCGGCAGCAGCAGCAGCAGAGCCCCAGCTCCAGTACTGGCACCACCCTCTCCGGTACATTCCGCGCATGCGCTAAAGATAGCGGTACGGCGAAGGCTTTCTTATGCGCATGCGTGAGACGAGTTCGCCCGCTACTGCCAGCGCGCCGGAAGTCATCTCAACGTCTCCGCGCCGGGTCGGCAGTGTACGCATGCGCTCTGTGGGAGGAAGCCGCTGCCCGGCTGGTGTGTCCGCGAACGGACGATGCTGTCGCCGGGCTGCTCCCGACTGTGCCTAGTCCTGTCACCAGCCAGTGCGCAGGCGCATCCCGGGGCTGCCGCTGCTGACTGACTGCGGTGGGTCATCAAGTGCCGCTCAGATCAGCGAGGCCCCGCCGCTGGCGTGTTGGGTGCGGCGCCGGGCTGCACCTCCGCCCGCCAGGGCCTAGTGCTGGCCGGCCTCGTCCCACGTGTCCCGCCCCTTCCCTGCTGAGAGGGCGCAGGGCCCGGGGCCGTGCGAGGAGTGAGAGGCCCGGTCCTGAGTGCGAGGCGCCGCGCTGCCCCGTTCCCCGCGGACGGAGGCTTGTCCCGGGCAGAGGCAGGATGAAGCTGGTGAGGAAGGACATCGAGAAGGATAACGCGGGGCAGGTGACCCTGATCCCCGAGGATCCCGAGGACATGTGGCACGCCTACAACTTGCTGCAGGTGGGGGACAGCCTGCGGGCATCCACCATCCGCAAGGTGCAGACCGAGTCCGCCACGGGCAGCGTGGGCAGCAACCGCATCCGCACCACCCTCACCCTCTGCGTGGAGACCATCGACTTCGACTCTCAGGCCTGCCAGCTGCGTGTCAAGGGGACCAACATCCAGGAGAATGAGTATGTCAAGATGGGGGCCTACCACACCATCGAGTTGGAGCCCAACCGCCAGTTCACGCTTGCTAAGAAGCAGTGGGACAGTGTGGTGCTGGAGCGCATTGAGCAGGCCTGTGACCCAAGCTGGAGTGCTGACGTGGCAGCAGTGGTCATGCAAGAGGGGCTGGCTCATATCTGTCTTGTAACCCCCAGCATGACCCTGACTCGGGCCAAGATTGAAGTGAACATCCCCAGAAAACGGAGGGGAAATTGTAGTCAACATGACCGAGCACTGGAGAGATTCTATGAGCAGGTGGTGCAGGCAATCCAGCGTCATATCAACTTTGAGATTGTGAAATGTGTGCTGGTGGCCAGTCCGGGGTTTGTAAGAGAACAGTTCTGTGACTACATGTTCCAGCAGGCTGTCAAGACTGACAACAAGCTGCTGCTAGAGAACCGGTCCAAATTCCTTCAGGTAAAGTAGATAAGTAACCTTTAAATTGTAAAATCCAAAAAGAGTAAAGAGTTATATTGTGTGACATTAGCATAGAGAAAATTTAAGTTGAAGATCAACATAAATTTATTTTTTGTTAGACTTTAAATTGTGTATTAGTAAGGAATGTAGGTGTCCTTTTGTTGGGACACTTAAAAGCTAAACTAGATGAAGCACTAGATAATTAAATGCAAGCTCCCCCACCCCTCATACACACACAAAAATAAACTTGATAGTGCCTCATTAAAATGGCAGAGATTTCAACACTTAGGAAATTGCATTTCCAGCAGAAAAGCCAGTTCAGTTGTGTTGGGGAGCATGAGTGTTTTATGACAGATTTAATGCCAGTGTAAGAAAAGCAAATGAAAACATACCTAGAAGTAGCAAGGCTAAGTTAGCATTGCTGTTGGAAAACTTTTTTATTTTTTTCTCTTGGTTTTTGTTATTTGCATGACCTTAAGGTTTTATTTGCTAATTATTTTTATCTGATTTCTTCGGTATTTTTAAAGGAGAATTGGAAAAAAATTAAGACCATCCAAATTTCATTGGCTTCCTGTTTTTACAATGCCTGGCTTCCTAGAGGATACATATTGTTACTGAATTAAGTAAGTCTTTAATCCAAAATCAGGGTCCTAAGCCTTTGACAGTCCCAGGGCATTAAAAACAGCTTCATAAGTATGAAACAAGTTTCTTTTAACTCAGTGTTTTAACATGGATATTAATGAAGTATTATCTGCAAGAACCAGCCTGAGGACAAGGGTCCAATCACTGCTGAGAAGTGCTCGCTTCTTATATCTGAAAATACATGCAGGAGTACTGTGAAGTCTAGTTTTTTTCAGATGCTTTTTGGTTTAGGCCAGTGCTCAAGATCCCAGCATGTTTAAAACAAACTTTGAATGACTTTGTTCTAAATTTTTTCTAACTTTGTTAAGCTCAGAGGTAGCTGAAGGTATTCTTGTTCAATATTCCTGAAAAAATTCACCTTCAGAAAGAGACTGACTACGGAAAGTTTCAGTTCATAAGTGAAACATATAAGGCTAAGTGATCACCATGGACTAAATTATCCATTTTTCTTCCATTTATAACATTTTTATTATAGGTCCACTCCTCTTCTGGACATAAATATGCACTGAAAGAAGCTCTTTGTGACCCAGCTGTGGCCAGCCGTCTCTCTGACACCAAGGCAGCTGGTGAGGTCAAAGCCTTAGATGACTTCTACAAGATGCTACAACATGAGCCCGACCGGGCTTTTTACGGCCTCAAACACGTGGAAAAGGCCAATGAGGCCATGGCTATTGATACCCTATTGATCAGCGATGAGCTCTTCAGGCACCAGGATGTGGCTTCCCGCAGCCGATATGTGCGGCTGGTAGATAGCGTGCGGGAGAATATGGGTACAGTGCGCATATTCTCCAGCCTCCATGTGTCTGGGGAACAGCTTGGCCAGCTCACAGGGGTAGCAGCTATCCTACGTTTCCCTGTTGCTGACCTCTCTGACCAAGAGGAGGAATCCAGTTCTGAAGAGGATTGATAATGGCTCATTCACCCTTCCTCTATAGTACAATAAGACTAAAATGACAGTCACAGCGTTTCTTTTCCAAATACTGCAAACAAATGTGCCCTAGTGTGCAATTTAATATTTTGAGGACAACATATATTTTAAGGTGCCTGGTTTTGTTCAACATGCTGTACTGGATAGCCATATATATTTGCACTTGCAGTATTAATAATGATGAGTATACTATAGGTTGGGGTTAACCATTGTTTGTACAAACTACACTCTGGATCTCCCAGAGCATAGCAAACTAATATAATTCTGATTTGGTTCCTGAAAGCTGCTGATGAGGTATTTTAAAGCAGATGATCTTTTTTGCCTTCTGGTGCATGTACAAAAAAAGAATAAATTAAGAGGAAAAAATGCTAAAATGTCACATTTCCTGTTTTATGTGCTTGCAAACAGCACTGGGAAGTATGGGAAGCAATGTGTTAGGTATTCTAAAGAATAATCTTCCTTTTCAAACTGCTATCCGAGCTTTAGCCATAGGCAGGTTGACAACTTGGTCAGGAACTCAAGGGCCACATCTTATTGATGTAAAAAGGAGTAGATTGTAGGGATTGGAAGAAGATTAGATGTGGGCCTGTCTTGTTCATGAGTCCAATCATTTGCCTGAATTTGGCAGTATTATTCAATACTGTTCTATTAAAAATGGAAATATTTTAAAGAAAAAACTGAATTGGCAGTATCTCTTTAGACATGATGGCAACTGCAAACCAAAGTATAAAGCAGTGTGGGCCTCACTTTGAATATTTCTTCTAAAATACTACCTCAGGTCCCTGTCATGTGAGTTCCTGAAAGTTATATTATATGCTGTACTAAAATCTGGTACTTCAGATGTAAATAACTGTCTTCTAATGAATCAGTGTTAGGATAATGTGGACCAGATGCTGCAAACTTGACATGAATGAGCAAGGATTTGCGAATCCTAAATCCATAGCTTCCCCAGGAATCCTTTTGGCAATAGATAAATGGCTTTCATTACAGTCTCATAATCTAGTATTCCCATGTAGATGATTTTAAAAACAGGTATGTATAGTACCTCTTGAAAATAGAAGATCTAATTAATGGCCGGACTTTGACCTTTTTGGAGATAATGATTGTTGGAAAAAGCTACCTTAGTTTTTTACCAATGTTATTTAATCTGTTTATCAATTTTTATTAAAGGTCCAAAGAATGGAGGTGATCAGAGAGTTTTTTCCAATTTTTCATGGAATTTTGGGGGGAGGAAGTTTATGTGTGTGTGTGTGTGTGTGTGTGTGTGTGTGTATATATATATAGAGAGAGAGAGGGGGGCGGGGGGAGCGAGGAAAGGTGTAAATCTTAGAAGTGTAAGAACCTAGTTTTGCTGTTCAGTAACACTTATAATGACTTTATTTCCCTGAAGTATTTCTATTAAGATTTAGAATTGGAGTTCTACAGTTAGTGTTTGAAGGTAATTTAGAAAAAATACAGACTTTCTTTTAACTGTTATTACAGTGCCACTCATTTACAGGAAGAAATATATACTTCCAGGAAACAAGATACCTCTACATTTGTTCATACATTTTTTTTGGAGTGACGTAAAACCCATAAATGATATATACACACACAAGTAATGTGTAGGAAAATGAATCAGGTTGCATGAAAATGTAGATACAGTAACACAGACCCCCTACAATTGACAGAGTTCCATTGATGTTAATACTCTTTGTAGTTAGAAGTATTTGCCATGGGTAAAGGGTTCTTTGCATATTGGCAGGTGTACTTGCAAAGTTAAGGTCTTAAGCTTAAATGGGGCATTTCATTCATTACTAGAAGTCAGCATGCGTTAAACAACACAACAGTGCTATGACTTAGCACAGGAAAAGAGTACCTTTTCTAACCAAAACTACATTAGGATTAGGTCAGAATATGCAGGGCTCTACCCTTTAAACTTCTGTCTTTGGGTTTTCAACAGTCACCAAAAGGACCTCAGTACTGACTTTCTGAAAGAAGAATGAGAAATATATTAACTTTATATAAAATGGTTTATGCTGTGATTATCTTATTAATCACCCTTCTCCCCAGATCATCTGAGACACATCTGAAGTATTTTGGATTTAGTTTTGAGTAGTCAGCTCTAACATATCAGCTTCTAGGATCCACATGTTGAGACCTGGCCTATGCTTAATATTAAGTGTGTCAGTTGTGTTTGTTTAATCCAGAGTCCTTTAGGCTAAAGCAACCCCTGTTCTTAGACCGGGGTGGGCAAAAGGGCCTCCGTGGGCTGGATCTAGCCCACCAAGCGGGATGATCTGACCCATGGAGGTCCTGCTGCTCCCCCACCCCTAGCCCAATTAGTGTCTGGGGGTGAGGGAAGCGCACAATGTTTCCTCCGCCATTGCCCCCGCCTTGCAATCATGGTCTGTGGGTAGGGAAGCAGGGAAGTATCCTGGCTCTGCCCTTTCCGGTGCAGCCCTGGGGCTACTTCAAAAATTTCTGAAGTGGCCTCCAGCAAAAAATTCTTGCTCACCCTTGTCTTAGACTGAAAGAACCATTGCTGATCTCAACATGCATATGTTCTGGGATTTTCAGTGTGAAATTTTTTTCTATAAAAAGATATCTGCAACTAAAAAATATCCACTTGCTTTTATCTTATTTGCTTTGTAATCATTTACTATAGGTATACACATACAGCAACATGACATTATCAACTATAATTGGTTAATTATGAGTAAACGCATCCTGATTGTTTAATAACTCAGACTGTTTAATAATTAAATCACACTGTTTAAATATATGCTGCACAGGCAGTAGGAGACACATTAAAGAGCCTCTTGTAGCTCTTGAGCCTCGGTCTGAATCCTTTAATTTTGAAACATCCATTTAAAATATAGACACTGAATCTGGACACAGGGAATTGCTATCATGAGCTCTGAAATGCAAAACTTGGGAGGGAGGGTGTTCTTTTTGTTACTGCAACACTGGTTAAATAAGAAACCATGTTGTGATGTTATATTCTATTTTGTTGTTGTATTCTTTGGTCTGAAACCTTCTAAAAAAAAACCCCTTAAGCATTAGTTTTGGAACAGAATAGTACCAACTCCGCTAATTTTTAACTGTTGAAAATATAGAAGGACAAACAAGCTTTTTCTTCATAATTTGTTACATAGCAAATATTAAGCATGTTGTTCTTTTTAATTTCAACTATACATAAAGTATCTGTTTATAAAAAGTGAATAATCACTTGTAGGCTTCTAATGTTCACTTTTGAATTAGCTTAGACCATTATTTACATAAAAAAAACTTTCACATTTCTAGCAGTGCTTTCTTCAATAGAAATAGCACAAGTTACCTAATTTTTAGAAAGAAAAGTGTCATAGAGCAAAAAAGGTTTAAGCTGCTGATCAACTTATCCCAAATATGTCATCAACAAAACATGGTCTGTTTCTTACAAGATCTCTGAAAGCAATTTTCAAAACAATGAAACTCTTCAAGAGGGCCAGCAATTTATGGGAATGCTTGTCCTTTAGTGAGAAATCTAAAGGGAAAGATTTAGAAATACACAGTTTGAACTTACCTCAAAATTGTGAAAACAAGCGTGAATTTGAAAGATGATTTTTATAAGATAGTGAAACATTCTGTAATAAAATGAGTATTTTGAGCTGTGTAATTGAGATAACAGTGAAGTTTTTTCTGACAGGAAATAACTTCAATATAATTGGTCCTACCAGTCATGTAATTCTCTATTACTTCTACAGCTTGTTGGAGAAGATTGTTACATTCAGACTTTGTATAGAAAAGTAACTTTATTAAAAATGATAGAACTGTTAACATGGAAATTATTTTTTTAAAGAAATCTTTATTCACTCAAGACTGAGGTAAAGAAAATGTCAATTTAGGACTAGCAAGTATTATATTATGTTCTAAATTGCAGCTCCCTATTGAGTCTATTTTCCCCAGCAATGGAAGAAATAAACACAGGGCTGGAGAGCTTCTAATCTGACACTTGCACAAAGAGTTACGCAATGAAATTATTCTTAATGCTGCCAAATATTTTTGACTTGTGCAGTGGCTCTGATTTTAAGATAATGACCACTTCTATTACATGAAATATAAAAGGAATGATAATTTCCTAAATGCAAATCTAACAGTGCAAGTTCTTCCAACTTACTGAATTAGAAATATCATACAATCAAGTTGTTTCGAAGTCTCCTATTATAAAACAGAATGGTGCAGAAAAAAGTTAAATTCTTTCCTTGTGTCGTTGTTCAAAAATTACTGTTCTCTCCCGTTGCACCTGATGACTGTAGAAGGCGAGGAAAGGAAGTTAATAATGTTTGGAGCAGCATTATCTCCTGAGTTGTCTCTTCTAGGAATTCCATGATTAAACAGCACGCTAGGGAAAGTAATTGCTCCCTAGTACTGACAACTTCTGGTTGATCACAACTGTCAAGCTTAGTTCTGAACAAATATTGGCCCCAAAAGTTTGTGTCCTAAAAAAAGTTCAACTGACTTTACTGGAAGAATTTCAAACCTAACAAATGGAAATGCATATTGCAGCAAGACTATGCAATGTCTTCACATGAAAGACAACTTGGGCTCGTCTACACTGGCCCCTTTTCCGGAAGGGGCATGTAAATTTCACCAGTCGTCGTAGGGAAATCCGCGGGGGATTTAAATATCCCCCGCGGCATTTAAATAAAAATGTCCGCCGCTTTTTTCCGGCTTTTAAAAAAGCCGGAAAAGAGCGTCTAGACTGGCCCCGATCCTCCGGAAAAAGTGCCCTTTTCCGGAGGCTCTTATTCCTACTTTGAAATAGGCTGAGGGAGTTGGGTCTGTTTAGTCTGGAGAAGCGAAGAGTGAGAAAATGCCCGCCGCTTTTTTCCGGCTTTTAAAAAAGCCGGAAAAGAGCGTCTACACTGGCCCCGAAGTAGGAATAAGACCCTCCGGAAGTAGGAATAAGAGCCTCCGGAAAAGGGCGCTTTTTCCGGAGGATCGGGGCCAGTCTAGACGCTCTTTTCCGGCTTTTTTAAAAGCCGGAAAAAAGCGGCGGACATTTTTATTTAAATGCCGCGGGGGATATTTAAATCCCCCGCGGATTTCCCTACGACGACTGGTGAAATTTACATGCCCCTTCCGGAAAAGGGGCCAAGTAGGAATAAGAGCCTCCGGAAAAGGGCGCTTTTTCCGGAGGATCGGGGCCAGTCTAGACGCTCTTTTCCGGCTTTTTTAAAAGCCGGAAAAAAGCGGCGGACATTTTTATTTAAATGCCGCGGGGGATATTTAAATCCCCCGCGGATTTCCCTACGACGACTGGTGAAATTTACATGCCCCTTCCGGAAAAGGGGCCAGTGTAGACGTAGCCCTTATGTTTTTCAGTGAAGCATTAACACTCAGAAAACTGGTACTTCTATGTGCCAGCCAAAAGAATGTTAGGAGGAGGGTTGTTTCTTTGTGTATTTCTGCAGGCCCCAGATTTTCAATAATTCTAGAGGAATGTGGTAGCAATCTTTATTTAGGTTGTCTAACATTTCCCAAGGATAATGTTTCATATGACCTTTTTCTTGATGCTTCCATGCCTCTGCAGCAGGTCTTTGGTATTCAGCACAGGGAATCTTCTCTGGGTAAAAAAAGTGCCTTTCCATTGTCTTGTGACAAAAATTTTGGAGCTTTGGTCTATGACAGTTTTTGTACCAGTATAATTATTTTGGTTAGGGGGATGATTTTTTTTCTATTGAAATAGTTATGCTAAAGATATAGCTTCCCCCTCATAAATAGAAACAATCGGGGGATTGTATAGCTTTAACTGTATCAGTATAGTTTAACTTAGTGGTGGGCCAATTCTGCTCCTGCCGGGGCTTCCCTGGGACGGCCGGGCTGCTGCTTAGCCCTGCTGCTGCAAGGGGTTCCCCAGGTAGGGCCAGAGCTCCCCGTTTGCCACCTGATCCTGCTGATGCCAGGGGTTCTCCATCTGGTACAGGGTTCCTCATCCCTTCCTGGCCCTGCTAATGTCAGGGGTTCACTAGTTGCCACCTGGCCCAACAACTGCTGGCCCAACAACTGCTGGCCCACCCAGGGCACCTCTGCTTTGTGTTCTCCTGACTGGCTTCCACTCTCTGCCTCTGGTGCTCTGTGGCTGGACCACGGATGCTGCAGGACCAAAGAGTCTCAGATTTGGGAGGTTCAACCTGTATTTTCATGCTCTTTCCTGTGTCCCTTGGCAGGCTAACAAAATCACAGAATGCTCCATGGCCAGATTAACACTATGATATCCTATTAATAGGCACTACTATTGAAAACACTTGTGAACTGCTGCAGTGTCTTTTTGGTGGAATGAGGGGAGGGGCAGGAAGGGGAACCACATGGAGCTGGAGCTCCTCCAACTCCCAAGATAGAGAAATTCAAGTTGGGCTCCTACATTTTATGAAGCCAGTGACCCATTACTTCCTGAGAGAAATTTCCATATGGAACAAGAGGTCCCACCTTCCAAGGTAGAGAAGAGAGGGAAAAATGAGGTTGTCAACATTTGATTGCAAAAAAATGAAAACCCTCTTCCTGGCCTCTGCTGTGCCCCTTCTCTGCGGGCATGACCCCTGTGTACTCCATCCCCTCCTACATCTATTGTTTAT